CCGGCTGCTGTTCCCTCTTACAGTTGGTTTTCACACATGGTAACTACTTTTCCTATGACTGTTGGGATGGTTAACTGTGAACTGCTTATTTTTCCCTGAAACTTTGCCTCAGGGTTTTCATAAGGCCTGGATTGAAGCTATGTTCCTCTTGAGAAAAACTTGTTTTTGCTTCTGCTGGTTACCTACATGAAGCTACTGGAATTTCACCATGTAGAGAGTTTTTAGACCACCCAAGCTGTATGAGTTTGGGCCAAATGCCTGTGTGAGGGTCAGCGGGTCATTATTAATTTTTTTTTTTTGAGTTGGAGTCTCACTCTGTCGCCCAGACTAGAGTGCAGTGGCCGCTCCCGGCCACCACAGCCTCGACCTGCAGGGCTCTGGCGATCCTTCCGCCTCAGCCTTCCAAGTAGCCGGAATTACAGGCACGTGCTAGCACGCCCGGCTAATTTCTTGATTTATTGTAGAGATGAGGTCTCGCTGCTCAGGCGGGTCTCAAACCTACAGGCTCAGGCAATCCACTCACCTCAGCCTCCCAAAGGTACGGGATTACAGGCTGAGCCACCGAGCCCGGCAGAACTTAGTTCTTATAGTCCATGAGGGCACTCCATGTGCAAACCAACCTCATTCTAAAAGTGCTGATTATTTAATGCCCATGACTCTTTTTTTTTTTAGTCAGAGTTTCACTCTGTGACCCAGGCTGGAGTGCAGTGGCACAGTCACAGCCACTGCAGCCTCTACCTGCTAGGTTCAGGCAATCCTCCCACCTCAGCCTCCTGAGAAGCTGGAACTACCAGTGCATGCCACCACATCTGGCTAATTTTGTTTATCTTTTGTAGAGATGAGGTTTCACTGTGTTGCCCAGGCTGGTCTTGAACTCCTGGGGTCAAGAAATCCTCTCACCTTGGCTTCCCAAAATGCTGGGATTACAGGTGTGAGCCACCACACCTGGTTGGATTGGATTTTTCTTTTAAAAAGAGATTTCTCTGGTTGGGCATGGATATATATATATATAATTTTTTAATTTTATTTATTTATTTTTTGAGTTGGAGTCTCAGTCTGTTGCCCAGGCTGGAGTGCAGTGACATGCTCACGGTCACCACAGCCTCGACCTGCTGGGTTCAGGCGATCCTTCCGCCTCAGCCTTCCAAGTAGCTGGAACTACAGGCATGCGCCACCATGCCCAGTTAATTTTTTTGATTTTTTATTGTGGAGATGAGGTCTTGCCAAGTTGCTCAAGGCTGGTCTCAAACCCATGAGCTCAGGCAATCTTCTCACCTCGGCTTCCCAAAGTGCTGGGATTATAGACGTGAGCCACTGCACCCAGCCTTTTTATTTTTTTTAAAGATTTCTCCAGCATTGCTGTTAAGTAGTGAAGTCAGAAAAAAAAAACGTGGCCATCCAGTTGTGAATGGGGGTGGACAGAAGAGACCAGCAGATGCCATCAAGCCAGGCAACTGGGCCTGGAGTCAGCCCAACCTGCACTTGAATTTGACACTGAGGTGACTTGGGACCAGTCTCCACCCCTCTGAGCCTCAATTTCTTTGCCTGCAACATGGGAACATAAGAACTACTTGTCAGTGTTAAGGGACACTTTGTAGGAAATCAACAAATAATACATTTTTATTGTTGTTATTCATGAAAGTAGAAAAAAATGCAAACTCAACCAGGCCAGACTTATCATGTCCCGAATTCTTAGAAGGGCCTATGGGAGCAGGAGGGGACACTGGAGTTACATTTTATAACTCTGGTGGTGTGTTGTTCCTTTATACTTAACTGCAGAGTAAACCATAAGTGGTTGTTCCTCCGTCATTCCCAGTTAACTTTCTGTGGCTTTTATCACAATATCTCATGTAACACACCCTTCCACACCTTATTACAGAAGCGATCTGGGTGAGGCCCAGTGCCATTGGATTCTGGAATCTGGCGTGGATGGCCGGGGACAGCAGCTCCCAGAAAAGGAGACTCACAAATCATGCTTCTGTTTGCCTGTGGCCCCCTAACTCTCCTGGGAAGCTGAGGGTCCCTGCAACATTGACCCTGCCCTGTTCTGGCCCAGAGCACTGCTCAGGAAGGGAGGAGTCTGAGGCCCAGAGAGAAAAGAGCTGCCTTCTCTAGAGGCCAAGGGAATGAAGAATCAGTTGGGGGCTGACTCCGGACATATTCTCTGAATATACCAAGGGGGAAGGGGGGCTCCTGACTGTCTAGCAGCCAGCCGCAGCTTGGGTTCTTGTGGAACCCCATAAACCTGCCATGCCCTGCCCATGTCCTGCAGGACAGCACACGCTAGGTGTCGGGTCCTCCCCCATCCCATGGCACCTTGTCCTGGCACCTCTCCCTCCTGGACCTTCAGCCTCTCTGCTTCCTCCCAGCCCCTCTCCACAGGCTCTGGTGGGCCCACCCTCCCCACTGACCCACAAACACCGTCCTTGCCAGTGTCACCATCGCTCTTGCCAAATCCGGGGGTCCTTGCTGTCCTCATGGGCTCCACCTCCCGGCCTGGCTGACCACTCTTTCTTCTCGAAGTGATTCTTCCGTCGACACCCCCCACCTCCCACTCTCTGTTCTGCCCTGTCCCTCTCCTCTTCCTCCACTTCCCTTAGGTCAGCGGTTCCCAGACATTGACCTCCATCCTGTTCTCTCTTGGCCTTGGGCAGAAAATGATGGTCATGCCCTTGTCTGCGGCCCTGGTCTCACGCTGGAGCCCAGCACCTTCTGGGCAGTAACTCAGAGATGACCCGCAACCCCCACCATATACCTGGCCTGAACCAAAATCCCTCCCGAACTGTCCCTCCACCCCTCAGTGCCCTGACAGCTGCTCACCTGAACGTCATCTACACACACCACACACACACACGCAAGTGGATCAGTCACTAAGTGCCCTACTGGACTCCCTTATGAGCCTCTATAAGCTGAAGCCTGTGCACGTTACAGGTGCACTAAATACCAGGGTCACCAGGCACCGTGGCTCAAGCCTGTAATCCCAGCACTTTAGGAGGCCAAGGTGAGAGGATTGCCTGAGCTCAGGGGTTCGAGACTAGCCTGGGCAACTTGGTGAGACCTCGTCTCTACAATAAATCAAAAGCTAAGCCTGGCATGGTAGTGCGTACCTGTAGTTCCGGCTACTGAGGTGGAAGGATCACCTGAGCCCAGCAGGTCGAAACTGCGGTGGCCGTGAGCATGCCACTGCACTCCCTCCAGCCTGGGTGACAGAGTGAAACTCCAACTCAAAAAAAAACCCTAGAGTCCTCAGCATGGGACACTCTCTAACTTGCTTCCCATGCCGGGACCCCCAGAACTTGCTCTGTGTGAGGTGGTGACTCAGTCCCTTCCCCATGGACTCTCTGCCCCGGGAATGGCCCGCAGTAACCCAGGCCAGCATGCCAGGGCTATCAATTTCATCCCCATGTAGATAATCTATCAGCCACAAGCTTGGATAGAAGGGAGATTCTTGCCCCTCAGATCTAATCTGTCCTTGTCACCACCCTTGCCTGATAGGCGGGATTCCCAGAGGGCAGAGTAAAGAGCCTGGAATCAGAAGATGACAGAACGAGGTCACACAGCCTAGTCATTTCCTTTTGCACAGAGGGAAACTAGAGCCAGAGAGGGACAGACACACACTCCAGGTCTCCAGGAAAGCCTGGTGGGCTGGGCTTGGTCTTCCTGGTCAAGGGCAGGCAGGCAGGTCTGGGGGCTCAGCCCGACATTCTCTGTTGTGCTCAAAGGTCACCTTGGAGGTGACAGGATTTTCTGCTTGGCCTGTTACCTGGGAGGGCGAGGGGAAGGGGAGGAGGGTGGGGAGGGAGGAGGGGCTTGAGGGGTTATCTCCGCGACAGGCATTGCTGGGCTGCGAAGTTGGCTGGCTCTGGCAGGGAGTTACATGCTGCTGGGGGCTCCACCTCCCACCTGATCCCAGCCACAGGGAGCCTCAGGGACTCTGGGCCGTGAGCAGCTGTGGGACATTTCCCAGAGGGGGTCACCATGGACCACAGAAAGCAGTGTCCAAAGAGCCATCTCAAGTGGGTGCTGGTTGGCATCGCCAGCGGGTCTCTGGTACTCATGGTCGGGATCGTCCTGAGCCTCGGCCTCCGGCAGCCAGGTAGGAGCCTCTCCCTGTGCCTCTCCTGTGCCCCCTCCTTATCCCCAGCGAGGCTGTGTCCCCGTGGACAGCGCTGACTGGCTCTTCTCCCACGCTTCGTCCCCACTGAGACCCATTCCCCGTCCACAGCTCTCTCCGCCTCTGCCATCCCAACCCTAATGACCTCAACCGCCCCCCCAAGGTCCTACTAGCCTTCCTTCCCTCCATCAGTCCTGAAGAGCACCAAGTCTCCCTTCTGCGCCCTTCTTGGGAGTCACATGGGCACTTCGAACTCAGAAGACAGCTGGACTCACCCCTTCCCCCGACCCACAGGCATCCCTGCGCTCTCTTGGCGAATGACTTCCTCATTCACACAGGGACCTGGGGGTGGCCCCACCCCTCGTCTCAGGCCTGTGTTCCTCAGTCCTGAGCCTCAAGGACTCTGCCTCCCCACCCGCGACTCTCCCTCACTGCCCTCTGAGGCCTCGGGGTGTCTTCCTGGCACCCTTCCACACAGTCCCTCTGCCACCAGGGTGCTGTCACCTGCCCATGCTCGCTCTGCAGCCAGGGAGATCCTCCCCAGCAAAACCCTCAGCCACTGCCCTCAACACATGGCCGACTTTGCCCGTGTTCAAGGCCACTTGCGACCTGATCCCAGCCCCATTTTCCAAGCTCGTCCAGTTTCATTTCTCTGTTGCATCTGCACCGGGCCAGTGGCCATTCCTCTTGGCAGCCCCTTGCTGCCACAGCCAAGCCTTTGCCGGCGCTATTCTCTCTGGAATAACCTAGTCCCCTTTTCTGTCAAATTACACCCATCCTTCAAGGTCTCCCTTAAATGCCCCTTTCTGGCCAGGAGCGGTGGCTCACGCCTATAATCCCAGCACTTTGGGAGGCCAAGGTAAGAGGACCGCCTGAGCCCACAAGTTCGAGACCAGCCTGGGCAACATGGCAAGACCTTATCTCTACAATAAATCAAAAAAAAAACTAGCTGGGCATGGTGGCACATGCCTGTGGTTTCAGCTACTTAGAAGGCTGAGGCAGAAGGATCGCCTGAGCCCAGCGGGTCGGGGCTGCAGTGGCCGAGTGTGCCACTGCTCCAGCCTGGGTGATAGAGTAAAACTCCGACTAAAAAAAGAAAAAAATGTCCCCTTCTCTGGGAGCACCCTGTCTGCTAACTGCCCTAGGCTGGTGCCAAGAATGAGTTCAGGTTTCAGCAGCCACTCTGCTGGATGGCATGCTGGGCACACAATGGGAGCTCAGGCGGAGTCGTGGAAGGAGTGGGCAGGCGTCTCAGGCTGGCGTGAGGACTGATGCTAACAACCCCGTGGCATTCATTCCAGGCTGTGAGCAGGACACCTGCCACACTGACGCAGACATGCTGGACTACCTGCTGAGCCTGGGAAACATCAGCCACCGAGACGGCCTGCAGGTCACCTGGTACCATGCGGCCAACAGCAAGAAAGACATGATGGCTGCCTTGAACGGTAAGTCCAGCTGCCAAGACTGGGGCAGGCCAGGGCAGGGGATGGAAGGTGGGAGACAGCAGAGGTAAGGATCAGACCCTGGTCACCATGGCATTCTGGTGGCCATTTACATGCCTTGTCAGACTCCACGAGGAAGAAGGGGCTGCCGGGAGCTGAGTGACAGGTTCAAGATCACACAGCTAATGAGCTATGAGTCCAAGATTTGAACCAAGTCTGGCTCCAAAGCCCTGACTGCATTTTCCCCTCACTTTCCACTACCCCCACCCAGCTATTCCTCCCTCACGCTGTCAGGGCCAACTGTCCCTGCTAAGGAAGCCTTTGCCCTCAAAGCCTCAAGAAGCCCAGCACTACTAAATTTGAAGCCCAGCGCTACTAAAAACTAAGGGGAAACCTGAGACTCACATCCAACGTGATGATGGTAGCCAGTCAGCTCTGGCTCACTGTGCAGGACATGTGCATCACACACGGGTTCTCCTGGGACCACCTGTTTCCCGAGTACCTCTTTATAGAAGAAAAACAGAGGCTCAGAAGAGTTAGGTGACTCACCCAAGGATTGTTTTGGTTTGGGGTTTGTTTTTTTTTTGGTAGAGATAGGGTCTCGTTCTGTCACCCAGGCTGGAGTACAGTGGTGTCATCATAGCTTACTGCAGCCTCAAAACTGTCGGGCTCAAGCCATCCTTCTGCCTCAGCCTCCAGAGTAGCTGGGTCTACAGGCATATGCCACCAAGCTTGGCTAATTTTTTCTTTTCTTTTCTTTCCTTTTTGAGTCAGGATCTCATTCTGTTGCCCAGGCTGGAGTGCAGTGGTATGATCACAGCTTACTACAGTCTCCATCTCCTGGGCTCAGGCAATCGTTCCACCTCAGCCTCCCAAGTATTTAATGTTTTTGTAGAGATGGGGTTTCCCTATGTTGCCCAGGCTGATATCAAACTCCTGGACTCAAGCAATCCTCTCACCTCAGACTCCCAAAATACTGAGATTACAAGTGTGAGGCACCAAACCTGGCCCTGGCTATTTTTTTTCTTTTTTTTTTTTTTAGTTGGAATCTCACTCTGTCACCCAGGCTGGAGCGAAGTGGCATGCTCGGGGGCCACCACACCCTCAACTTGCTAAGCTCAGGTGATCCTTCTGCCTCAGCCTTCCAAGTAACTGAAACTACTGCTGTGTGCCACCTCACCTGGCTAATCTTTTTATTTATTGTAGAGACAGGATTTCACCAAGTTGCTCAGCCTGGTCTCGATTCCCTGGGCTCAGGCAACCCTCTCACCTCGGTCTCCCAAAGTGCTGGGATTATAGGCATGAGTCACTGCACCCAGCCAGCCCCAATTAATTTTTTTTTTCCTGGCTGGGCGCTGTGGCTCACAACTGTAATCCCAGCACTTTGGGAGGCAGAGGCAAGAGGATTGTCTGAGCCCAGAGGTTCTAGACCATTCTGGGCAACACGACGAGACCTCGTCTTGACAATAAATCAAAAAAGTAGCCAGGCGTGGTGGCACTCACCGATAGTTTCAGCTACTTGGAAGACAGGTGGAAGGATCACCTGGGCCCAGCAGGTCGAGGCTACAGTGGCCATGAGTCTGCCACTACACTCCAGCCTGAGCGACAGAGTGAGACTTCAGCTCAAAAAAAAAATAAAATAAAATGTTTTTGTAGAGCCAGGGTCTTGCTATGTTGCCCAGGCTGGTCTTGAACTCCTATCCTCAAGGGATCCTTCTGCCTCCCAAAGCACTAGGATTATAGATGTGAGCCATCTAGCTGAGAAACACTGTCTGAAAGTGGTTAAGCCAGCATAAGAGCCCAGAGTGGCCAGCTCCTAGGGTCCATACTCTGAGCCAGGTTGGCAGGGAAACACCCTCTCCTTCAGGACAGTTAGGAAACTCAGCAGATCATACTCATGTACTGTGAACTCTATAAAGGTGGAGGAATAGTCCTAACATGAGCATGCGGCCAGGCACGGTGGTTCAAGCCTGTAATCCCAGCACCTTGGGAGGTCAAGACAGGAGGATTGGCTGAGCCCATGGGTTCAAGAACAGCCTGGGCAACTTGGTGAGACCTTGTCTCCATAATAAATCAAAGAATTAGCCGGGCGTAGTAGTGCACGCCTATAGCTGCAGCTACTTGGAAGGCTAGGGTGGAAGGATCACCGGACACCAGCAGATCGAGGCTGTGGTGGCCAGGAGTGTGCCTGCCCTCCAGCCTGGGTGACAGAGTGAGACTCCAACCCCCCCAAAAAAAAGGCTGGGCTCAGTCTGCAATCCCAGCACTTTGGGAGGCCAAGGTAAGAGGTTTTGCCTGAGCCCGGGGAGTTCAAGACCAGCCTGGGCAACTTGGTGAGACCTCGTCTCTACAATAAATCAAAAATTAGCCAGGTGTGGTAGTGCATGCCTATAGTTCTGGCTACTTGGAAGGCTGAGGCGGAAGGATTGCCAGAGCCCAGCAGGTCGACGCTGGGATGACTGAGCTTGCCACTACACTCCAGCCTGGGCAACGGAGTGAGACTCCAACTCAAAACAAACAAACAAACAAAAAAACATGAGCATGCTTCACAAGACAAGCTGTTGGCCCCACCATCAGAGTTTTTGATTCCCTGGTTCCAGGGTGGGGCCTGAGAATTCACATTTCTAGCAAGATCCCAGGTGGTACTGATGCTGCTAGCCCCAAGATCACACTTGGAGCACCATTGCTCAAGCCAACTCCCTCCATTTCAGATGAGGAAACTGGGGTCTGAGGGCTGATAGGGGGACATCATTGTCTAAACCAGGACACTCTTGATCACAACAGAGGTCATTATTAATTACGCTGAAACAACAAAAATACACCAGGTGGTACCTTACTCTAGTTAAGCAAGCCACTCTATGTAAATGATTAACACTCAGTGTATGCCTGACCAGGGATATTGTAGTGTTTAATTCTTGTAGATGAGGAAACAGAAGCACAGAGTGGTCAAAAAACCTTCCCAGGGCATACAGCTTACAAGTGTTAGGACTGGGCCTGAAAGCCAGCAGTAACAATTCAGCGTGCACAATTAGCCACCGTACTCTCCTGCAGATTCGTAAAACTCCAGCACCTGCACCCCTTCTCTCCAGACTGTGGCTCCCTGAGGTCAGGGCTTCTGCTGCAGTCACAGGAACCCAATCCTTCCCTCATCTCTTGGTCCTTCTTTTTATTTTATTTTATTTTATTTATTTTTTTTTTGAGTTAGAGTCTCACTCTGTTGCCCAGACTGGAGTGCAGTGGCATGCTCATGGACACCCCAGCGTAGACCTGCTGGGTTCCAGCAATCCTTCCATCTCAGCCTTCCAAGTAGCCAGAACTACAGTGGCACACTACCACCACACCTGACTCATTTTTTTGATTTATCATAGAGACAAAATCTCACCAAGTTGCCTGGGCTGGTCTCGAACCCATGGGCTCAGGTAATCCTCTTGCCTCGGCCTCCCAAAGTGCCAGGATTACGGGCTTGAGCCACTGCACCCAGCCTGAAGCCTGAAGACTTTTGTTTTTTTTTTTGGATACTCACTCTGTCTCCCAGGTTGGAGTGCAATAGCACACTCATGGCCACCCCAACGTCAAGCCGCTGGGCTCAGGCAATCCTTCTGCCTCAGCCTTCCGAGTAGCCAGAACCATAGGCACGAGTTCTCAGCAAGTTGTCCGGGCTGATCTTGAACTCACTAGCTCAGACAATCCACTCTCCTCGGTCTCCCAAAATGCTGGGATTACAGACTGAGTCACTGAGCCCTGCGTCTTAGTCCTTCTAAGCAAGTCAGTTCCCAGATGCAGCCTCCAAAAGGCAAGTAGCAACTTTTTTTGTTTTTGAGTCAGGGTCTCACTCTGTCACCCAGCCTGGAGTGCAGTGGCAGGACCACGCCCCACCACAGCCTCCACCTCCTGGGCTCAGGCAATCCTTCCATCTCAGCCTCCCCAGTAGCTGGGACTACAGGCGTGCACCACCACACCTGGCTAATTTTTTTACTGTTTGTAGAGACAAGAACTTGCTTTATTGCCCAGGCTGGTCTTGAAATCCCAGGCTCAAGCAATCCTTCTGCCTCAGCCTCCCAAAGTGCTAAGAGTTACAGGTGTGAACCTGGTGCCCGACCAACAAGTAGCAACAAGTAGCAACTTCTTTCTTTCTTTCTTTCTTTCTTTTTTTGAGTCTGAATCTTGCCGACCAGGCTGGAGAGCAGTAACACGCTCAGGGATACCGCAGCCTCCACCTGCTGGGTCAGGAAATCCTTCCGCCTCAGACTTCAAAGTAGCTGGAACTACAGGCATGCTCTACCACGCCCAGCTCATTTATTTTTATTTATTGTAGAAATGAAGTCTGCCAAGTTGCCCAGGCTGGTTTCAAACCTGTGGGCTCAGACAATCCTCTCACCTCGGCCTCCCAAAGTGCTAGGCTTATAGGTGTGAGCCACCACGCCTGGCCCACAAGTAGTAACTTTTTTTTTTTTTTGAGTTGTTGTCTCTGTTGCCCAGGCTGGGGTGCAATGGCACACTCAGGGCCACTGCAGCCTCGACCTGCTTGGCTCAGTTGATCCTTCCACCCCAGGCTTCCAGGTAACTGGAACCACAGGCACATGCCACCACATCCAGCTAATTTTTTGATTTATTGTAGAGATGAGGTCTCACCAAGTTTCCCAGACTGGTCTCAAACCTGTGGACTCAGGCAATCCTCTCACCTCAACTTCCCAAAGTGCTGGGATTATAGGCATGAGCCACCAAGCCCGGTCACAAGTAGCAACCTCTAACATCAAGGGAGAAGATTTTTCCAGGAAGAAGATGGGTCCAAGTGGCAATCCCAGGGAGGCAGATGAGGTCCAGACTGTGATTCCCATCAGTCTGTGTTCCACTCACTAAGTGTTCACTTAGCCCTTGTTTGGGGCCAAGCTCAGGAGGAAGGTTTATTTATCTTTTTCCTTTTCTCATTCCATCTCGTCTAAGAAGGAAGAAGGTTTAGACATGAGTAAGGTACAACTGTCTTCAGAGAGCTCATGGGGTCT